CGAAGTTTAGTGTGGAGAGGATGGATCGGGAACGCGTCGAGTTTAGTGTTGGAGAGGATGGATCGGGACGCGCGAAGTTTAGTGATGCGGCAGAGGATGGAGCGGGACGCGCAAAGTTTAGTTGAAGAGGATGGAGCGGGACGTGGCGAAGTTTAGTGTGAAGAGGATGGAGGCGGACGTGCGAAGTTTGGCGGAGGCGGATGGAGCGGGACGCGCGAAGTTTAGTGTGGGAGAATGGAACGGAGACGCGCGAAGGTAAGGTGTGGAGAGGATGGAGCGGGACGCGCGAAGTTTAGTGTGGAGAGGATGGAGCGGACGCGCGAAGTTAGTCGTGAGAGGATGGAAGCGCGCGCGGTTTAAGTGTGGAGAGTATGGCAGCGGGCACGCGCGAAGGTTAGTTGGACGAGGATGGAGCGGGACGCGCGAGTAGTGTGGAGAGGATGGACGGGACGGCAGCGAAGTCTTAGTGTGGAGAGGGATTGGAGCGGACGCGCGAAGTTTAGGTGGAGAGGTGGAGCGGGAACGGGGCGAAGTTTAGTTGTGGAGAGGATGGAGCGGGACGCGCGAAGGTAGTGTGGACGAGGATGGAGCGGGACGCCGCGAAGTTTATGTGATGAGGATGGAGCGGGACGCGCGAAGTGTTAGTGTGGAGGCAGATGGAGCGGGACGCGCGAAGTTTAGTGGTGGAGGATGGAGCGGACGCGCGAAGTTTAGTGTGGGATGAGGATGGGCGGGACGCGCGAAGTTAGTGTGGAGGGGATGGAGCCGGGACGCGCGAAGTTTAGTGGTGGGAGGATGGAGCGGGACGCGCGAAAGTTTTAGGGTGGAGAGGATGGAGCGGGACGCGGCGAAGCGTTAAGTGTGGAGATTGATGATCGGAACGCCGAAGTTTAGTGCGGAGAGGATGGAGCGGGACGCGCGAAGTTTAGTGGGAGAGGATGAGCGGGGGACGGGCGCGAAGTTTAGTGCGGAGAGGCATGGAGCCGCGGACGACGCGAGTTTAGTTGCGGCAGAGGATGGACGGGACGCGCGGAATTTAGTGCGGAAGAGATGGAGCGGGACGCGCGAAGTTTATGGCGAGAGAGGAGCGGACGCCGCGAAGTTTTAGTGCGGAGAGGATGGAGCGGGACGCGGCGAAGTTTAGTGCGGAGAGGATGCAGCGGGACGCCGCGAAGTTTTAGTGCGGGCAGAGATGGAGCGGGGACGCGCGAAGGTTTAGTGCGGAGAGGATGGAGCGGGGACGCGCGAAGGTTAGTGCGGAGAGGACTGCGAGCGGGACGCGCGAAAGTTTATGCGGAGAGATGGAGCGGGGACGCGCGAAGTTTAGTGCGGAGAGGATGGATCGGGACGCGCGAAGTTTAGTGCGGAGAGGAGGATCGGGACGCGCGAAGTTTAGTGCGGAGAGGGATGATCGGGACGCTGCGAAGTTTAGTTGCCGGAGAGGATTGAAGCGGGACGCGCGAAAGTTTAGTGCGAGAGGATGGATCGGGACGCCGCGAAGTTAGTGCGGAGAGGATGAGCGGGACCGCGCGCAAGTTTAGTGCGGACCGAGATGGAGCTGGGACGCGCCGAAGTTTAGTGCGGATGAGATGGAGCGGGACGCGCGAAGTTTAGTGTGGAGAGGATGGAGCGGGACGACCCACGCGAAGGTTTAGTGGCGAGAGGATGGTTGCGCGCGACGCGCGAAAGTTTAGTGCGGAGCGGATTGGAGCGGACGCGCGAAGTTTAGTGCGGAGCGGATGGAGCGGGGACGCGCGAAGGTTTTAAGTGGCGGAAGCGGATGGACGGGACGCGCGAAGTTTAGTGCGGAGCGGATGGAGCGCGGCGCGCGAAGTTTTACGGTGCGAGAGCGGATGAAGCGGGAACGCGCGAAGTTTAGTGCGGGAGCGGATGAGCGGGACGCGCGAAGTTTTAGGCGTGGAGAGATGGAGCGGGACGCTGCGAAGTTCAGTGCGGAGAGGTGGAGCGGACGCGGCGAAGGTTTAGTGGCGGAGAGGATGGAGCGGGGAACGCGCCGAAGTTTAGTGCGGAGAGAGATGGAGCGGGACGCGCGGAAGTTTAGTGCGGAGCGGATGGAGCGGCGACGCGCGAAGTTTAGTGCGGAGCGGATGGAGCGGGACGCCGCAAGTTTAGTGTTGGGAGAGGATGAGCGGGACGCCGCGGAAGTTCAGTGCGGAGATGGATGGAGCGGGACGCGCGAAGTTTAGTGCGGAGAGATGGAGCGGACGCGGCGCAGTAAGTGCGGAGCGGATGGAAGCGGGACGCGCAAGTTTAGTGCGGAGCGATGGAGCGGGACGCGCTAAGTTTAGTGCGGAGCGGCATGGAGCGGGAACGCGCGAAGTGTTTAAGTTGGCAGGAAGGATGGAGCGGGGCACGCGCGAAGTTTAGTGTGGAGAGGATTGGCAGCGGGACGCGCGAAGTTTATTGCTGGAAGAGGATGGAGCGGGACGCGCGAAGTTCACTGCGGAGAGATGGAGCGGGACGCGGCAAGTTTAGTGCGGAGAGGATGCTAGTCCCCCCCCCTATATTTTTATTTTTTTAAATGTGTGTTCGCGTTAATATTACAAATGAACGCCAATTTTTTCTTTAAAATTGAAAGCCAAATGTTTCGGAGGTAAAGAATAATGTACTAAATATGTTATACCTACAATCAACACCAGTACATAAACTCTAAAGCTTTCAACTTGAAATTTGTTTAACCTTAAAAAAAATCTAAACACGGTTTTTTATTCCTGATCAAAATAGAACTCATTACTTTTATTAATTAGCAAAAAAAAACACTTTATTAAATAACCCACTTTTCGAATTTCCCTGCATGTTACTATTTTCATCATTTATTGGAGCTATAAAATTGTTCGTTGTTTATTAAAACATTTCGATTGAGAATTGAAATGAGGGCCGACGATTCTTTTTGACTGTTGTTTCCGCGTAATCTATTGTATAAAACATGAGGTGTATGTTTATATATGGCACATGAAGTTAAGAATCATTGAGGTGCTTGCTCAGAAAATTTGCACATAAACTTTTGAGCAGCAGAATTGAAAAATAGCATATTCAAAAATTTTAACTATCCAGTGTTATTACAAGATGTTTAATATTTCACTGTCTGCTCATCGTAATTATTCACGTGGTTCATTAGTGATTCTATTGCCCTTTTCATTTTTTAACGACCTTTATTTTTGAACTATTGTAGTGTTTACATAACACCATTGCACCATTGGTATAAGTTACTTATTTTAACCCTGCTTTAAAAACAAGATGTGTTTTTTCGAACTAATTAGTTAAATACACTCTGCACTGCATCTGCGCGGCCCTTGTTGGCGCCGTGGGCTGCGACAGACTGGACCTGCTGGAGGCCGACGGAAACCGGAGGGGGAAGTGTGGGACCTAAGCGCGCGAGCACATAGGCGAAAAGAGCCGGAGAGGAGCAGGGGATGCGACAAGTACGGAACAGAGAGGGCGAGCGAATCGTGAGGCGGTCGGGCGGGGCGCCGGGGCGGGGCGGAAAAGCGGGCAGAACAAAAGTTGGCGGAAGGTGGTGAGCGGGAGAACAAAGTGCGGAACAGGTTGGATGGACGGCCTTGGCAGGCTGCTTACAGTGAGAGGAAGGGACTGACGAAGGGTGCGGGGCTTCCAAATTAAAGTTAGTGATAAATACCCGGACAACGCCGCTTAATCAGATAGTTTTGAATAAAATTTACCAATTTTCAAAACTTCTTTAAAAGATTCTAAAAAAACAGCACATATTTTGAAAAAAAATATTTGTATAGATAGAAAACAACACGATTGCCATTGCCCTTAAAATTCTCATATTTTCAAAAATTACAACTTTACTTTTTTCATACCTCTCGCGCACCTTTAATATTGGCATTTCAGATTATTTCACGTGATACAATCATGGTTCAAAAACCTGAAATGTTACCTTATGGAGTTTCGAAATATCAAAAGTTGCGAAAATTGCGTATTTTCGAAAGATCTTTAACCATGAATCTAATGCAAAAATTTTATTCCGAACATTATCTTATCAAATTTTATGTTTTATAGTTCTAATAGTCTCAATTCCATTATTATGAAACATTTTCTTTCGATAATTAGTTCACTGCTTACAAACCATTATTGCATCTTGCAAAGCTAACTTCGTCTAATAGCCGCTTTTACCTGAAAACATGACCATTCCCAACGAAAAACAAATAAAAATGGAAAGCAAGTACTGGTGTGACAGGGAACAGGACAACCATTGCAATGCTATGTACAAAATAGCGGACGGAGCCATTACTCTGACGATCCATTATTTAATTTAAGCCCTTCGCATTTGATTTTGCGGCTCTCCTATGAATTCACGAATAGAAGACAACAGCTTATTGGGTTTTGAAGCTATTTTAAGGAATTCCCATTTAAACCTTCAAGAAATCAAAATAATCGTCACCCTAGAGAACAGTAGTATCCTGTCGCAATGGGTGACAAAAATCGTTATTCACGTAAAATTTTACTCAATAAACATGGTTAAAGCTACATACGAAATGTAATGAAAACTTGGAATATCTTTTTTTAATCCACGTATATGCAAAATAAAAACCTAGAGAGGAAATAAAGTGTGTATTTACCTTGTATACGAGGTTTTGACTTCAGCCCCCAAGGGAAAATTCACTCGCCGAAACATCCATATTGAAGTCTTCTGTTTTTTTATGATCTGGAACAAAAATATAATTCATGTAGACAGACAAAAATACATTATTTCTAATTATACAAATTTTATAAAGTAAATGAAATAAGGAACTAAATTTTTTGACAGTAAAAATGGGATTACCGAGACAGAAAAAGAATGAAAGAAATGCTTTTCTCTTCGACTACTCCAGCATGTGTGCATTTCTGCACGTTACCGAATACAGTAATGATTCCACAAGCCGTGTGAAAATTTTATTCTCGCACGGCTGTCAACAAATCACATTTGTCTTAGTTCATTACACAAGGAAGAGAGTTCCCGCAGTCGCCTACAGAGGGCAACAGCTCTGCGCGCACTGCCGCGGCAAGTCGCCACTGCAGTTGAATCACGAAACAGTATGCGTGTTAGGGAGGTTACGTGGTAGCGAAAGTGTATGTGGATGATTTTATGTCAAACAAAATTTCTGCAGCAAACACTCTACTACAATCGGTAGAACATTATACAACCTTCAAAATACTCGCACACAAGAAACATCTTTTTCTACTAATAATTCTACTTTAAATGAAATCGGCTCAAATCGGGAGTCAACTTCCTCGATAATATATATTACCAATGGTCTAATTTTACAATTAATTTTAAAAAATCTAAATGTTTACTTTTTATGTTTTTTAATAGTTTTGTTCCCTTGTTTGTAGTTTATGTTACAAAATATTCAATTAATGAAGTAAAAAGTACAAAGAATGGGACATGATTTCAAAACAAAAACTTTTAAAATAACATTTAGTGTTTTTAAAACATCAATTTTAAAGCTGTACAGAAAGTATAATATTCTACTTGCGTAGAATGGATACACTCTTAGAAATTCCGACACTCGCTACTACGTCGTTAGCTATTATTCAACGCTCGTTGAAGAATATACCATTAAAAGAACGGTAAACGTCAACTAAAACAATTCCAAATCCAGAGTAGTAAAGGCTCTATCAATTCTATGCCTTTACCCTTTTCGTGAAAAACTTAAGAAACAAGATCCAAGAGTTTCGAGAAAAAAATCATACCTTTAATTTTCGAAAATTTAAAAGTTTTGATGAAAATGACACTTGGAATTGGATTCGATGTACAGTATTCTTTACTTTCCAAGATGTTTAAGACAAATAAAGCTTTATGAGGGTCTGGATTAGAAACGTTTGTGCGTTGTAACATGAGCTATTTAACTATAGACGGACAGCGCTTAAAATATATTCCCGAAGATCCGATGGATCTGAGAACGCAGAAAATTTTCTAAAAAAATCGTCAAAGCAACTGATTTTGAACCAAATTAACATTGAACGATAACAAGATGTGTTGATATCCTCAGTTTGAGTTATGAGATGGCTGTACAGTGCAACGCGTTATTAATTTAGATACAATTCAAATTAGTGGATATAGTTGGAGTAGAGATAGTTGGGGAGTGAAGTCCACAATTGGTCATTTTCGTTTTTTACAGAAATTAGTGCAGAAGACACAGATCTACATGTTGAGACTGAATACAGTTGAGATGTTATTTGAATTCTAATCAGGCACCTCCAAAGCTCCCTTTGATGGGTGAAAGAACAGTATCTGTATTGGATACGTTCTTCCACTCAGGATTTCAGACGTCTGGCGACTCTGGCTGCTAGCAGTATATGGTTCACACTTTTTATTTGACACGGGGCTGATATAATTTACTTGTTTTGTTACTGATCGAAATTGTGTCTGTAATGAATCTGAGAGCGAGAGGTGGGGGGAACAGCACGTGACGAGCCAGCAATTTTCGTTATTTTGCGTTGAAACAATGAGTTCACAGCCAAGTTTGTAAACAAGCATTCTCGGGCTTAAACGGAGTATCACACATTCAAGTTCAACGACTGAGAGAAATTCTTTTGTCAGATCTGTGTCCGAAAGAAGAGAAGAGGAAAGCATAATAACAGACCGCATGCTATCAAGTTTGAACATTTTATAAATATAAAAGAACATTCAGAATTCTTTCCAACGAAAATTGCACACTGCTCATCAGCTTCTGTGAAGTTTATGCCGAATGTACTGGACGTTAAAACAGCCTGTTCACAAAAAAATCTTGAAAGGGAAAACGTTATAATATTTGAGCTCTACTTAAAACTTTTATTTTTATTACTTAAGTGCACTCTTATAACAATAAAATGCAGTATTTTTGTAGTACATAGTTTGCAAGGAATTTGGTACATAAGATGAAAAACAGTCCATAGTTTTTGTTTAAACCAGAACACATTATTATTAACGATTTCATCACAATTATTCCTCAGAACATATTCGTAAACCTCGGTACAACATTTCTGAAATAAGAAAATTGTATAAACCTCAACATTTTTTTTGTTATACCTAATAAAAGGTTATTTCTTGAGTTATCTCGAAATGAGCGTTCTGGACTAGAACGGTTTTTTCACTTATTCATTCAATTGTTATTGTAACTACGTATCACGGAATTTAACTGAATACATATTTGATTCAAAATATCATATTTCCTTACTTAGCTTCATTCCCTTTCCATTCCTTTTCGTCTTGATACCTTTCCATGTCAAGTACCCACAAAACTTGGATTCTGACTACACGATGTGTTACAGAAAAACAATTTACGTATCAGTAAACTTTTTCAGTATCAGGACCCCATAATACGAGCATTTCTACCTTACCCTTTTAAGGGGAGTGTGAATCGACTTTGGGACCAGAAAACGATTCTTGATTAATTGTGTTTACATTTTACCTAACATTTTCTTTTTAAAATAAGGCAAATCAGATCGACACATCGAGAACTACGTTAATTTCTCTTTACAAGAATCACGTTCGCACGTCATTTTCTCGCACCTCGTGTCACTTGAACATCTTGACACATGAACTCGTTGACATCTGGTGTAAATACAATAGAGGAATGGCAACTGGAGAGAATTATGACCATTTTAATTGTCTCGAGTGCCATCGTGGATGAAATAAAAGCGCTCTTTAGAGATCTTGCAGCTAACACTTTGTTGAAAAAGGAATAAAAGCGCTAAGACTAATAATAATAATAATAATAATAATAATAATAATAATTAGTAGTAGTAGTAGTAGTAGTAGTAGTAGTAGTACAGCAGAAGTAATAGTAATGCAGTAGAATGGCACAGACTTTCCCGTATTAATTTTCTATTTCCATTAGTCTCGGCTAGCTTCTCGTATTTGCCACATACTCTAGCCAGATGCAATGTATCCCCGTTCAAAGAACATTTTTTTTAAAAAAAATTCTCTTTTTAATAGAACGGAAATATTGTCGGAATATTAAAGAACGTCCTAAATGGCAATTTTCTTTGCAAAAATTGTAGCCGTTTTTAAGATAATGACATTTAAGCGCTACTGTAAATTCAAAATTTGAACCTCTTTTCAGAGAGAGCAATTGAGTTTTTGAAAAACTTTATATGACGTCAATAGTCGAACCGTGGCGCTTAAATGCCAAACGGCTACAAAATTAACAAAGAAAATTGCCATTTAGGACGAGGTTTTAGTGTTCTTGAATATTCCGACAATAATGTTTCCGTTCTACTAAGATGAAACATTAAAAAAAAAAGTACTTTGTGCGGTGATAGATTGCAGCTGGCAAGAGTATGTGAAAAGTCCAAGTAGCTAGCTGTGACCAAAGGAAATAGAAAACTAATAAGGGAAAGTCTGTATCATTCTCTAGAACCATTAGTTGCCCATACGAGTATTTATAGTATGTAGTATATATTAGTAGCCACACATATTTATAGTATGTAATACTAAGTTGTCACAATATTTATGAGGACTTTTGTTAATACTCTTTAATTTGTCGCGTTTGCCGCTGCAGGTCATTATTAGTAATTAATAAAACCGCTTGAAACTAAACAAAATGAGTTTTCAGACCTAACGCACAACCTCACCTTCTTCCCCGAGATCCCGAAACTATCTGAACACTTGGAAATTAGAAATAAGACACACTTTTGAATATTCCACCTCTGGCTTTGCCTTCGTGCCTGAGCATCCTGTTGGTTGCGTCTGTGAAACCAGATGTCAATGCCCTCGCAGACAAAACGCCGCACAGTGTCCCATTGAGAAGGTGAGACTTTCTCAATAATCAAAACCGCAGTGAAAGCGCGAAGCATTATAGTAATTTCACACCAATGTCCAGTAAGATCTGGAACGGACGGGCGTGTGATACGAGTACAGACAGGAATACAATTTCTTCGGTTGAGGCCCCGGTTATAGAAATTTCCAGTCTAACGGCGCGAATAAACTAAACGGTGATAGGTCTACGATGTATTTCAGTATAAAAATAATGAAATGGAAAACTGACTGATAAAGGCCGCATGACACACCCAGACACCTGGGTCGAAGAGTCTACACCCACCCCAACAAACTGATGTGGTTTCAGAATCGCACAGATTTTATTGTACTAGCTAGTTTCCGTATCTCTTCAATCTGTGCTATCTATCCAGTTTTGCCCCATCCGCTTCTCAACAGCTCTCTATTGGCACTTAAAACACATTTTTCCAAGTTTATTCAATTGTTTCGGATATATAATAATAGAATTGAAATATGACTTTCAGAATGTTATAGAAGTGTAAAACTCGCTTTCCTCCACGAGGCAGGAGTAATTTTACCAATATAAATTTGTTATCAAAACCAAATTCTACTGGCATATTACTAATGTTCATTCATTTCCCAATAACGAAGCCGACACAGTTCCAAAACAGTTTACCCTCAACTAGGATGCATAGGATATTTAAGAATGTCGCTCACTTTTCCTTTGCCATAACCAAGCCCGCTTCTCTTCACATTATTTCACATTCTTACACTGATTTTAACAACCGTCTGTAGCTGTCAACATTGTCCCCAGTGGCTTAGCACTGCAGACCCGGAATGCAGTGAAGTATCACGGGTTGCATACGCAGAAGGCTCTCGTACACTAATATACACAAGTGAAATTTTAATGTCCTTTATTACGAAAGAGAGATTTTGCCCCTCTGTTTGGGCCATGTTTCTCCACGAAGACCAATGAACACACTTTATCCCGAGCACTGCTTGCCTTCTGTTCCCTTGTGATGGCACAGAAGGGCGTCAGCAGCAGATTGGCGCTAGGCTGCAGGGTCGAATCCCATGAAACCTAAGACTATTTCCACCTTGTGACTGGCAAATTCACCGTATTCCATTTAATGTGCAAGCGTCAATCATAATTTCATTGTTCGGGGTAAGAACGTTATCAGTATCTAATAGCAATGCCCCATTTGGGATTCACAACAAGTAGCAGGAGAAAATGTAATTCGAACTGTACAACTGAATTACAATTTTGCACACTTCCTTAATTGTAGGAAACTCGATCTTCAGTCCCAGCGTAACTATGAAAATGTAAGACATCACACTTTGTTCAACATTTCAACAAAAAAATGGAATACTATTTTTTTCGAAGTAGAAAATATATTGTGAGAGTCAGATAAGTCTGAATTTCATTAAATATTTAAAGTAAGTCGCCTACAATTACACTCTCCGAATACTATCTTCCGATTAAATCAGTAGGGCGCGGTTATCCAATCGGAAGCATCAATTTCAAAACCTTTGTCGTAACAAAACTCCTGATTGGATAACCGTGTCTCAGCTGATCAAACGACAATTCGCCCTCCGTTTTTTAATCGGAGTACTCGTATACAAGGTCGCATGTTGAAGCATGCTATAAATGACTGTGAACGCTAAAAAAGCCGAATTAGCTATTACAGTAATTTATAGGCTGAGATGAAAATGAGCATTGCTCAAAAACGTTTAACTGATTTGAATAACAATTAAAATATCAAAAATAATTCTAAGATAGTGCATTTTATTCTTCAAATATGCTAAATTGTTCTGTATCTAGTCCACCTGCACATATTTACTATGTCGTATACTCGTACGTAGTATATACTGAGTGTTTCCCTAAACATCAGTCTGATATAGGTGTTGTGCGTGTTATCGTTGGCATTTTCATGAAATAATAGACGTTGTCATTGCCAACAATATTATTATGTAGAGCAGCTTTCGATGGCTTAGCCATCATCATCAGTTGTCTGCGTGATGGAAGCCACAAAACGACTAGTAGTCGACTACTAGTCGTTTTGTGGCTTCCATCCAGCAGACAACTGATGATGATGGCTAACCCATCGAAAGCTGCTCTTACATTAAATAATCTTGTT